TGAATTTGAAAGAAATTGAACTGGCATCTGATCACTGTATCCAGTGTAGACAGGTGTCAGTGATTATAATGGACTCTATTTGCTTTTGATGCAATGCTCAGACTGTTAAGCGACTGATGGCAAGTTTTTTTTTATCATGAGGAGGACATTTTAAAGCGGTCATGACATGAGAAATCAATAAGTCTTTGTACCATTAAAACATCCTTCAAGTTTCATAGCTTAAAATGTCCTCATAAACAAAGCGTTCATTTAAGCAAGCTCTGAAAATGGCTTGTTTGGATGTTGGGGATTTGTGACATCACATGGGCAAATACATTCGCATATGACCGCCTCCTTTAACAATGTCCTTACTACGTTTCTGTACCTTGATCGTGGTAGTACCCTTGCTGTCTATGGAGGGTCAGAAAGCTCTCAGATTTCATCAAAATATCTTAATTTGTGTTCTGAAGATGAACGAAGGTCTTATGGGTTTGGAACGACAGGTGGGTGAGTAATTATTGACAGAATTTAGATTTTTGGGTTAACTAACCCTTTAAAGAGGGGCCATCATCACACAATTAAATCTGCGCAAAGAATCATGGGAGTTGTGTCCATCAGGTGTACCTTTCAGAATCCTTAATTCTAAAGGGCCCTTTCAAGTGGCCAGATTTAAACACTTTGGTTTGGAATGACCCTTCATTATGGCGGCCATGATTGTTCTCAGTCTGAAGTGCACTACATAGATAGATTTATCCCATTTGGGACACAGCGTCTGTCTTTATGAATCATTGGCTCATTGGATTTGTTAAAAAAAATTGTTTAATTCATTAATGAAACGCCACAGTGTGTTCCTCGGACAGCCAACATTTCTGCTCTGGTTTTATTTTAGTTTGTGAAATTGAGCAAAAGCTGACAATATTGTTTATAAAACTTAATATTAATTTCTAGTTTATTGAACTTATAAAATATATATCAATTGTGCCTGAATTGTTCCTGAATTGGTCAATATCAATTCAGGAAAACAACAACATTAATATATAAGATAAAAACCCATACAGGGCCATTTTTGCTCTCATATCTTGAATTTTAGGGGCATATAACTGTATTTTAATAGGCTAAATCATGCAGTCAGTCATCATCCTGCATCCTGTTCATCAGCAACTGCATCAATTTATGGTGACGTACAGGTTAGGGTGGGTGCATTAAATGAGATAATTTTAATACGTTATCCTGGAAGACCTTTGCGACAGTCAGATTTGAGGACCGGAACTAACTGGTGTGTGTGTGTGTGTGTGTGTGTGTGTGTGCACCTGGTATGTTCCCACAAGTATAGTAATACCAGTTAATTTTGACCTTGTGGGCCTTGACTTTTACCTCGACTTTTTTTTTTTGGTCCTCATGAGAAAACGAGCTTAATTCATACAGAATTATGTTTTTTGAAAATCTAAAATAGCAGAAAGTTTTGTGTGATGGGTAGGTTTAAATGTAGGGTTAGGGTAAGGGGATAAAAATACAGTCTGTACTGTAGAAAAACTATTACGCCCATGGAAGGTCCCCACAAAAAATGGAAACCAGTATGTGTGTGTGTCATTCATTTTACCCACTTTCATCATTTTCATTGTAGTGACCATATAGGTTCGCTGAAAAAAAGTCCTTAGTACGTATTACTTAAGCGACTATGAGCTATAGGGCCTAAAAATGAAGGGAAGTCTCACAAACCTGCTGCACTGACAGAGAAATATGATTTGATTAGTAATATGGATTGCTAAGAACATCATTTGGACAATTTTAAAGGTGATTTTTTTTTTCAATATTTAGATTTTTGTTTTTGCTCCCTCAGATTCCAGATTTTCAAATAATCGTATCTCGACCAAATATTATCCAATCCTAACAAACCATACATCAATGGAAAGCTTATTTATTCAGCTTTCAGGCCATGTCCACACTTTAATGGGTATTTTTGTAAACAGAGTTTTTCCTTCATCCGTTTTTTAAAAAATCTCCGTCCACATGAAAACGCAAACGCATGCTATGAAGCACTGTCAAGAGCATGCCAAGCCAACAGGTGGCGATATAATCTAAACCGTAAAGCCATGTTGGCCAATCAGAAGCCTGAAAAAGTTTCCAGTAGGTGGAGATAACGGCGCATGCTCTGACGTCACAAGCCAAAAACTCCGGTTTCACAGTCTACACAATAACACTGCAACCTGAGTTTTTGAAAATCTTCACCCTGGCGGGCGTTTTCAAAAATGTTCCGTTTCAGTGAACTGATGCTGCGTTTGCGTGTGGACGAACGGCCAAACCGCGTAGAAAAAGCTGTGCTTTTAAAAATAACCGCATTCGTGTGGACAGGGCCTCAGACAATCAAAAAAATAGCCTTATGACTGGTTTTGTGGTTCAAGTGTCACATATGAAGTTGATATGAAGAAACTGTGATAGAGAGAGAAAGAGGAGATGAGCCAGAGAAAGAAGCAGAAATCGTAGACTTTTTTTGCTAGTTTCAGCCCGACACAGTTATCATTTTCACATCCTGTGCAATCTTGTTTAAATAGCAAATGCATTTGCACCCATTTGTGCACCAATGGGCATGCTGGTCTGAAAACGAGGTGTGTTCAGTCGCATTGTTGGCACGTTGCTATTTTGAGGCAACTGAAATAGACTGCACCATTGACCAACAAAAAATGTTTTTTTGTTATTTAAAGACCGTGTTAGTAATATGCGCCTATAGGCAGGTCCACAACGCACGTACACTTTGCTTATTACACACACAGGGCAGCAGCACACAAACATTTTTAGTATTAAAAATTGAAGGATTAAAATGTAAAGGCTTGTTCACACTGGGACGAACAGCGCGCGCGATTATCCCCGACGTTTAACGCCTCGTGACTAAACAAAGGGCGCCAATGTGAGTGCACACCGACGCGCAAAACGCGAGGCTTAAAAGCGTCATTTTTAAAAAACTGCCTCGGGCTCGTTTTTTTTGGTTTGATGTGCCGAGTTAAAAACTGGTCGACCAATGAGATTGCCGCTTTTGTTCACGTGCCTGGAGCTGCTTAAGTTACAGTTAAACACGACTTAAATAGCGAAACTTGTAAATAGCGAATCCACCATGGTGCGAGTGCAACTGGCTTTTAAAGGTAATGGGAGATGAGTCTCTGATTGTTTTATTGCACGTTACGCCCAAAACACACCCATGACTCATTAAGAGAATATAAACCCTTTTAGACCATGTGCTGGGCGCGTGACCATTTTTCTTGATATTTACATTTTTTACAGTACACACATACATACATTCATTACTTCAGTAATATGTGTCTTCTCTCAAATGGCTAAATTAAATGGTAATACATCTTTTATGCATACAGTTCATTTACAAACTTTCCTTGTACTGTGATGTGGCTTGCTTTGCATATCTGAGCATTTTACTGGATGGCTCAAAGTCATAGCAGTCTGAGTGAGTAGATTGATAATAATATATTTAATTACAGTTTTAAACACGTGTGCAGAGACTTTTGCCTCATCACGTTGTAGAACATCAGTAAAATAATGTAAACTAGTTTAAATAATGCTAGCTCTGCTAATGAACGGACCTGAAGTTACCTCAACGTGTCTTTTAAAGTCATTTAACCCACCATGGGCAATAGAAAAGTCACTGTTGCAAACAGTGCAGCAAGCAACACTGTAATTGTTTTTGACCCCGATTAGGCAGTAAATAAGAAAAAATACAGTGGTGTGAAAAAGTGTTGGCCCCCTTCCCGATTTCTTATTTTTTTGCATGTTTGTCACTCTTTAATGTTTCAGATCATCAAACAAATTTAAATATTAGTCAAAGATAACACAAGTAAACACATCTGAAACATTAAAGTGTGACAAACATGCAAAAAAATAAGAAATCAGGAAGGGGGCCAACACTTTTTCACACCACTGTACACAAATTACAAGCAATAGCCTAACTGTATAGAACATATGATACAAATGAAATGATACTTTAGGAAGAACAGTGGATAAGACGCAAATTCACTGTCTGCCAGCAGGTGGCGCTTATGGCACAGCAATACTACAGCGTTACCTTGGTTACCACTGTAAACATAGCATTGTTAAAGCTAATAATAATTAGCAATTAATATTTGTTAAAGCTACTAAGTGCAAGAATGTGCACTGTACACACAGCACACGAGCACTGAATGTAGTTTTATTTAACGTCTTGCTTGAATTCTTTAAAATCGCTTTGAATTTTTTAATTGGCAAGGCTTAAAACACATGCAGATGCTATCCTTTTGTGATGTAGAAGTGGCCCGAACGTCCTGAGCATCTTTGACTTTGGCTTATTGTCAAGCCCTGAAATGTCTAAGAAATGGAATGCTTTTACATTAAACACTCATAATGGGTTTTTATGCCACATAATTGGTTTTAACACTTGTACCTTACGAGCCCACTTTGGGTTGAACCAGTAGACTACAATGCGATGCAACGCAACGCGTAAAAAGACAGTACAAGTCATTGTTTTTTTAACCTTAAACCGCATAAACATTTAATTAAACCAAATACACAAAATAATGTTCTTTTTTAGCAACGTCATATGACCCCTTTAACACAAAACACAACATAGTGTTAGTTGAGAGATTAATGTGATTTAATACTTGCCTTATTTTCAACCTTTGTGATAAGGATTTTTACAGTGTAATATGAAGAGTTGTGGAGGACTATTTAAAAAGTCAGTTATTCTATTGAGACGTTTTGCCTTTGCCCACTGCTGTATATTGTTACATGTTATTTATAAAGCACTGAGCATGTGTGCACTATAAATAATCAGTGTTTGAGCTGTCTCACACAACCATAGCATCAACACATGAATTCTCTCCATTCCATTGCTTACAGAAATGGACTACCAGTACCATAAAATACATGGTTTGAATCCTCCCAAAGTGTTTTTAGACATTTAATTTGAAGATTGTCTTTTTTCATGAGTTTGTAACATGAAATATGTGAATAGTAAAACTTTTTTTTTTTTGCCTTTGCAGGGTCCATCTCTTAGACCATCATTTTCAAGGCAACTACCACAGATTATATCTTATACTAAGGTAAGATGTTAAAATTATTGCCTGTCTTAGTACCCATAAAACACTTTATGCTACAAGTTATTTTAGGTACACAAGCACATAAGATCACTTTAGAAAGAATTAATCTAAAAACTACTTATACATACAGTGGCATCCAAAACTATTTTGACAATAAATTCAGACGTGTCTGAATGTGATTGCATTATACACCAAAATGTCAGGTGAAGGGATGTATATATAGGATGGACTAAATATATTTCATTTGCATATATTCCTTTTGCAAATACTTTTTATCTACAGCATCGAAGCACTTTATTTCATACGTTGAATTGGTGAATCATACAACACTGTCTGTATGTGTCTTTTTTTTATTGTTGATTTATGTAAACATTCACTAGTTGGTCACCTTTGGGTGTCCTGCGGCTTGACGCAAGTACAAATGCCTCAAAAACATGCATTAATTCATATAGTGAATAATCAGTCAAATTAATACTTTTTGATAGAAAAGTAGGCTATCAAATTACTACAGCTGCTGCACAGCTATGTGAAATAAGATGTAGTGCTTGGCACAACCACGGTTTGAACCATGCCATCTGGTGTCATAACCCACATGTGCAATGCATGTTTAATGACTGAATCATTAATTAATGTAACCCAATCTGCGTGTAATGATCCTCTTTTAATTTCACGAATATTGGGCTATACCACATCTTCATAACATCAATGGGACATGTTACACTAATCAGAGTTTAAAGGCAGGGTAAGCGATTTCTGGAAACACACCCCTACCCCAAAAGGGTCTCGCCCCTATTTTGATAGCTCCGCCCCACACATACGTATGCAACCAAGGCAACGATTGGTTTTGCTTTGTTTCACAGAACTAATGTGCCCGAATCGGTTTTCTAAAGCGTTTTTGAAAAATCGCTTACCCCACCTTTAATGGCACTCAAATCTGTCAGCAACTCTGATTATGCAAATAAGCTGTAGTGGGGGGGGTCTTTCCTGTTCAAACTTACAACTTTATATTGGACAAGGCAGTTTTGAGAGGTGTGAACTCTGTAGAAGTTAAAGGCCACTATCTGGTTAGTCTCAACAATATGGGACACTTCGTTTTGCCCAGGAGCCAGCGGATGAACTTTCCACCCAGAGTGATAGTCAGACAACAATTCTGTCATCAGTCTTGTCAGAACAACATCACTGAAGTTCATCTTTTTTTGTTTCATTCTGGAACACATCACCACCTCTCTTTCTTGAGCATCTCTAACTACAGAAGACACTATCAGGACTTTCAGCTAAACTGCATCTGGATGCACACTTAATGACGAAGCCAATGCATGCACAAGACAATCAATTGTGACCCCATTTAATAAGGTACTTTACCTGGAAAACAGACTCCTACTTGATACATTGTCATTTTTCTGTTTCATTTATCCACTTTCATTTCCGGTTTACCTGTGTGTGTACATGTGATCGTGTGTTTATGTGAGTAATTATTGTGCATCCATAGATTAGTTCAATAAACTTCATGCATCTGAGTTTGATTGTGTTTACTGCTTATAAAGTCACTTTAATGAGCTGATCTATGCTACATGCTGCAATATTGTTAGTACTGTAAGAAAGATATTTTCTGTGGCCAGGAAAGTAATATTTATTGGAGCTGATAGACGGATGAACAGATTGTAATATTAATTCTGCAGCAGTTACTTCTGGCAGCAGATATAAGTAATTATAATTGATTATAAACGAACTATAATTGATTTAAAATATATTTCCCTTTTGTGTTAATTGCTACAAAGCTGTCTACTGCTTTACGGTTTATTAAAGTATGTGTAAAGATATAAAGTCTATGTGAGTCCAATACATAAATAACAGTGAAAAAGAGAGTAACAATTAAGTAGCTTGAATTGATTTTTAGTAATACCATGTGTGGAGTTGTGTTACTCAATGCTGGTGAATTCCCTGTAGTGAAAAAAAGTATAGACCAGGGGTGTCCAAACCTGTTTCTAGAGGGCCACTGTCCTAGAGAATATAGCTCCAACCCTAATTAAACTCTCCTGAAGCAAAGTAATCAAGGTCTTCAGACTCACTAGAAACTTCCAGGCAAGCGAGCTGGAACTGGTTGGAGCTCAAATCTGCAGGACGTTGGCCCTCCAGCAACAGGATTGGACACCCCTGCCATAGAAGAAATATTTTTAGTTCCCCAAAGCACCTTTTGTTAGTACTGTAAGAAAGATATTTTCTGTGGCCAGGAAAGTAATATTTCTTGGAGCTGATAGACGGATGAACAGATTGTAATATTAATTCTGCAGCAGTTACTTCTGGCAGCAGATATAAGTAATTATAATTGATTATAAACGAACTATAATTGATTTAAAATATATTTCCCTTTTGTGTTAATTGCTACAAAGCTGTCTACTGCTTTACGGTTTATTAAAGTATGTGTAAAGATATAAAGTGAGTCCAATACATAAATAACAGTGAAAAAGAGAGTAACGATTAAGTAGCTTGAATTGATTTTTAGTAATACCATGTGTGGAGTTGTGTTACTCAATGCTGGTGAATTCCCTGTAGTGAAAAAAAGTATAGACCAGGGGTGTCCAAACCTGTTTCTAGAGGGCCACTGTCCTAGAGAATATAGCTCCAACCCTAATTAAACTCTCCTGAAGCAAAGTAATCAAGGTCTTCAGACTCACTAGAAACTTCCAGGCAAGCGAGCTGGAACTGGTTGGAGCTCAAATCTGCAGGACGTTGGCCCTCCAGGAGCAGGAATGGACACCCCGTGTGAAGAAGGTCACAAAGGCTGCGTCCGGAATCACATACTCATTTGAGTAGGTAGTTTTATTTGAATAAGTATTTTTTTTTAAGTTATTTTTTGATGACTCCAAAAAGAGTATGTTCTATATAGTATGAATGTAATCTGGAAGTACTACATTCGCCATGTTGTCTGTAAATGTGGTAGAGTTAGTACAAGACCCACAATGTGCAGGCTCTGGATAAAGAGACAAGGATAAATGCTCAGCCATGGGGAAGCAGTATAGGAAATGTAGCGAACCCAACCACTTTGCAAAGGCTTGCGAATTACAACAACCATAGAAACAGAGAAACATGCATACTGTCGATAACGAGACCGACTCCGACCTTGGAAAGCCCCAGGAGTTCTTCACTGATGCAATACCAAAAGATCACAGCAACGTGGTAAATAAACAAGCTTTTGTGGAAATTGAGACAGGCTTAACAGTCTCCAAAATAAGATTTAGACTAGACACGGGGCAGAAGTCATTATCATTCCAGAAAACAAGATTCAAGATGTCATCAGTCTCAGTCAGTTATAACAAATAACACAATGGTTGTCAGGATACGTTAAAGAACTCTTTAACCGTATCACGCAACGAGATCAAAGCCATGCTAGAATTCTACATCGCAGACACTCAAGAGCAACCTACTACTTTCTTTCCCTCTATGCTTACTTTTAAATTTGCTATAGTTACACCTAAAAAAATATCACAAGCCATGTGTTCAACAAAATGTACAAGACTAGACAGCACAATAAACATATGACAATAGCACACGGCCAATGAAACGAGGTCAAAGGCCCCGTGCTCAAACAAAAAAAACAAAAACACAAGAGCTTATGAAACTGTGATAACCCCCTGCATGCGCTCATGACAAAAGACAAAACGTGAGTATCCAGATTCCGACACTGAACTGAAACCAAGCCTCAAACACACAACACACACCATGGACTTTAAATTGTAATTATACATGCCTCCATGCCTGCTTTTTTGTTTAAACCTGTGTTGCCTGTTATAAACAACAAATGTTAATCACTCACATTGTTGCTTTATGGAAAATAAATGTTTTTGTAAGATACCATGCATGAATAACTGAGAAATGAAAAGAATGTTATAATAAACAAAATATAATAAAAATGACAGAAGGCTTCTGTAGTATTTTTTCCATGTAATAAAAAAATGGTTATCTTCAAATAGGAGCATCCCAGGTGCACTTGTGGACTAAAGCCTCGTGCACACCGGGACGATTATTGCATGTGTGCTCGGCAAGACCGTTTTGTGCTTGAGCGCCACCAAGTCGTGTTTTACTGTAACTTCAGCAGCTCCAGGTACCTGAACAAAAGCGGAAATCTCATTGGTCGGCCAGTTTTTAACGCGGTGCGTCAAACCAAAAAGGCGTTTAAAAAAAAAATTACGCTTTTATGCCTCACGTTTTGCACGTCGGTGTGCACACTCACATTGCCGCCCTTTGTTTAGTCACGAGGCGTTATACGTCGGCGATAATCGCCCCGGTGTGCACAAGCCTTAAGACCTGACTGGCTTCATACAGCCAATAAATAGTACCTTGAAAGTTGCTTGTAGAAACGAGCGCAGATCCGTGCGCACAAATCAACTTAAGACAGAGTTCACGTGTGATTCATAAAACATTCGTATGGCGCCAATCTCATCGTACGAATGATCGCATGTTGATAAATGTGGCGGCAGAAAACAATCGTCATTTGAATATCACGCCCCTAAAAACTCCCTGGTTTAGAAGCCTCACCCTCGAGTTTACGACATGGAGAACCGAAACCCGGCCAAAAAGAGGAAGTAATCTCAAGAATCCAAATCTTTCCACTTTTGCCATATCCTATTTGTAACATTTGTTTGTATAACTATTATTCATTATGTAGCCTAAACACGGCTTTATACTTCACTCATGTTCTAATATCGGTGTAAAATCCTTCACATGCGAAAAAATGTTTGTTTGGGCGCTGCACGCTGATTTTACAGCGGACCTTTTAAAATAAACAGTGTAACTTTTATGTTTGGTTGACTGCATTTTAGTTTGATGATGAATGGCTGAAATGTCAGGCAACGGTAGAACTAATGTTGTTTTCAACTAATGTTGAACCGTGTGCGATCATATGGATTAAATCAAATAAAGATATAAAGAAAAGAAATAAAATGCATTAAGAGTGTAGAACGAGCATAAAAACGAGCGTAGCCTATAGGCCTACTTGTTGCACAGTTTTTTTTTTTCCTTTTGTTAATCTGTTAATTATATTATAGCCTAGGCCTATTATATACTTTTTATTTTATT